CCTGCCTGCGCCCGCTGCGGGCAGCTGCCTGCCCAGCCCTGGGCCCGGGGGTGCTCCTGGGGTGCACGGAGGGGACAGCTGGTCCCCTCCCCACCACGGGGCTGCTGGGGACCAGAGCGGGTGCCCGCGTGTTGCTCATACCTGTAGGCAGGTATCCCCGGGTTGGCAATCATGATGGACTCCAGATGGAAGCGCCCGTCGCCCAGATACCTGCCGAGAGGGTGGGAGAGAGCTACAGCAGGTGGGCAACAGCAGCACCCACACGTGTGCCCAATGGTTTTTCAAGTAGCCCACAGGGATGCTGGCAGAGGGCACAGCCAGAGCTCCCCGCGTCCCCTCAGCATGCTGGGACAGAAGTGGCTGGGGCCGGGATGGCCACACTGGCACGGGGTGGCCAGGAGCTGCTCCATCTCAACGGCTGGTTCTAGACGTTGCTGCTTCCATTTCTAATCGGATTTCAAGTCAGCAATTACATTTCAAAGCCTTTCATTCAGCTGCCCTAATGGAGTGAGGGCTTGGAAAATGAATTCAGACGTAAAACTTGACTAGATTTTGCCCTTAATTGGAGAATGACATTTTGGGAGATCAAAGCTAATTTGTCTGCAAAAGTTAGCCCCAGAGACGGGGGAAAGAAGAAAATAACATGGGGAGGAGGCAGGTACAGTGGCTGCATGCACCTGCGACGGCGCTGGCTCGCTTGGAGGGACCCACTCTCAGCAATGAGGTGCCAGCCTGGGCACCCCACCTGGTCCTCGTACCCGTGGGGACAGATGGAAATCAGCATCTCTCCCCTGGTGCTGGTGAGGCTCAGGGCAAAGCTGGAGCCCCTGGTGACCCCGTTCTGGCAACTAGGAGCCCAGCTCCGCACACGGCTACACTCAGAAAGGAGCTGGCGCTGTTGGCTCCCAACAAAGCAGGCAAGAAGGGGCTCAGCAGGACCCAGACCCACACCTGGGTTCCCTGGCTCCCCCCATGGGTGGGGTTCTTGTATTTATTTATTCTGCAGCACACTGTATTCACAGTACATTAAGCATTTCCATTACCTAAAATAATTAGGTGATAGGAAGCGAAGTGCTCCCTCTAATTTGCTGTCCTTAAATAAAATTAATGTTGCTGTGATGTTGGGCCCCGGCCATTTGTCTTTTCCAATTATCCACCCGCCCTTCCATCTATTATCTATTCTGATATACGACTCAATTATTTCCTCTGTGCTACGAGCACACGCCACTCGGAGCAGCACGGGGAGCTGGAGGGGACCTGTCCCAGCCCACAGACATCTCCTGCTGCTCCCCAAAACTGCCCCACAGCCAGGCAGGGGTACAGGCAGAGCAGGCAGCCTGGGCCAGGCAGGATGGCCCCAGAGCACCCCAGGTACTTACACAATGGCATCCGTGTCCTGGGCGAGCCGGGGTGACGTACAGCCCAGGATCTCCCCTGGGGACAGTGGCTTGCACTGGGGCACACAAACCTTGTACTGGGAGCGCAGCTCCTGCGATGCCGCCTGTGGGAGACGTGGGGTCAGCTGGGACAGACCATGGCACAGAGCGTGGCTGAGGCTGCCGCTCCACCACACGGTCCTGGCAGTCCCAGCTCCACGGGGCACCAGCAGCAACGGGCGTGCTGTTGTGGCCCAGCAGAGGGAAGCAGGTCTGCTCTGGGCAGCACCGTCACCTCAAGGAGGGTAACGTTTACCCCGCACAGCCCAGACGCTCAGCGAGGCTCAGCCAATGTATCAATTAAAAGACAAGGGAAAATGCTTAACGCTTCGACAGCCCCGTGTTTAGATAGACATGGCTCAAGAGGCTCATTCATCTCCTCTCGTCCTGCCCAGCCGGCCGTTCAGGGGCAGACAGACAGACCCGCCGGAGCTTCCCCCGCCGCTGCCGGCACTGCATCAAAATGCCAAGTGCTCCACCGCCTGCCCTGACATTTACAGAGCAGCTCCCGGGGGAGCCAGGGAGGGGTGCCGCCATGAAACATGGATCAGAGTTATTATAAAGCACTTGATCAACATTACGGCAGCGGCGTATTACAGCAGCGACCCGAACCGGCACCCCTGGGCAGCCACCAGTCCCAGAGCTGGGGCAGAGAGGGACTCGGCCACAGCCAAGGGCTTGGGGGGGGAACACAAGCATCAAAAGCCAGGGGCTTGGGGGGGGAACACAAGCCTCATCCTGCACCCGGCACTGCCAAGGGTCCCCGTCTCACCTGCAGTGTGGAGACGAACTGGATGGTGCTGACGAGGGCCAGGGAGGTGCCTGCGGCGAAGTTGAAGCGAATGGTCTCGAGGAAATGGGACGCGTCGATCTTTATGTCCACGAACACATAGAGCATCTTCAGCCCCTGCGTGGGGTCGATGGGAACTGGTGAGAGGAAGAAGAGAGGGTGGGAGTGTGGGGTACACCCGAGCTGTGGCGAGCCCCTGGCTGCTGCCACCTCCAGCCAGGGGATAAAACAGGTTGGTGGGGCTCCCTACACCCCAACTGTCCTGGTGTGGGCAGGTCACAGTGGGCTGTGCTGGCACCCCGGGCCATGATGGGAGCCACGGAGGGCACCTGCTCGCTTCTCTCTGGATAATGGCAGCCTGGGGAATCAATGAACACAAATCTAATTACCCCTGGTGCTAAGAAGCCTGTGTCACCACGATTAAGTGAATAATTAAAGTACACAGAGTCCACATCGATCCACAGCGCCGTGTTCACTTCCCATTTTGGTGCTCTTCACCTGATCACAATTAAGTGCGAATTACTCTCTCCCAAGGGGCATGTGGGGCCAGGAGGGAGAGGACAAGGACCCCTGTGCTGCACAGGGACACATGCCACCATCGGCCATGCGGGTGATGGGAGCACCATGGGCAGCATGAAAGGAGCCCAGCATCCTCTGAGCACTCTGTGGCACCCCAGGGAGTCCTGTGACCCATCCAGCCTGGTGCAGGCACTGCTGGATATGGCCCCATCCTTCCCTTCCCTTCCTGCCGTTCATTCTTGAACAGCAGGCTACAAACCAGGGGTTTTATACTCCCTGTTCCAGTGGTGCCCATAACCCTCCTTCCGTAACAAAGCACCTAGCACAGATATTTATCACCACAAATGCTCACGCCGACGTGGCTTTAGGGACAGAGTTCTTAACTGTGGAGTCAGTATTTCACACGGAGCCTGACGCCATTCTTCAAATCCATTTATATGGCCCCATAAACGTCCAGGAGGGCTGCCAGGTGCCGGCAGCACAGTGGTGGTGGCAGGGATACATGTGCCTGCTGCTCGCTATGGCAATTCTGCCGATCCACCTTAAAACCCAGAGCGTCTTATTGTTATTTTTGGGCTGATTCCATCCTGGGTGGACTTCAAAGTTAGCAGCATCTGGGACAGCAGCGCAGTTTCCATGGCAACTGGATCCAGAGTACCGTCCGCCTGGGGAGCACAGAGCCTCCTCCTCCCTTCCCCGCCCAGCCTGTGCTGTACCCTGCAAAGCCGGCCCCGGGGCGAGTGGGACCCACAGGCCCTCACCTCTCTCAGCCATCGCTCCTGACTTTCCCCCCAGAACTGCCAGTTGCAGGGCAGGGGGCAAGAGCAGCCCCGTCCCCATCCATCGAGAGCTTCTGGGTGAGCAGGGTCCTGCCAAGTCGTGGCCTTGCTGCAATTCGGGAGCTGTG